GCCTTTGGCTTCAAAACAAGATTGAAAAAAGATTCAGGCTCTCTCGGGTGAGTGCTTGTTGAACAACGCCATGCACAATGCTACAGCGGTACATTCCGTACCTTCTTTGTTATTTCTTGTATATTTTCCTAAATATACCCTTATGTTTTTCCCTTCTTGCTTTGTAGGCCAACTTTCTTGCTTCCGAGGGCCTTCAGAAGTTGATTCATGAGAAGGAAGAAATTACCTTCGCTTGGAATCAACTTTTGCAGAACGGGAACAAAGTACCGCTTCCCTCTCAGAACTGGAAGCCAAAGACACCGAGGCCGTTGTACTGGAAGCTCGTTTGTAGCAAAGCGAGCAAGAGATGGAAACCCTTAGCCAAGAGATCGCCCCGCTGAGGGTTCAATTTAAAGAGGCTAAAGCCAAATGGGTTGAAGTCCATAATGCCATTCTTACTGCATGTGATCGTAAGGCTACCTCCGCTGAAAGATTAACTAATTTAGAGGCAACCTTGAATTCCAAGACGGAAGAGCTTGCTACTGCGGGGGTGAAATATGCTCGGTTGGAAGAGAAGTATAAGAAGACCCTTGAGCACAATAGAATTTTCAGCTCTACTATCCGCGATCTTGACGTTAGCCTCAAGTCTATTAGATCCACCTAGGAAATTATTTCTGCCGAAGTAACTCAACTCAAAGACGAACTTAAGCTCCGAGCGGCTTTCCTCATTGTTGGGAAAAATTACGCCATGTACAGCATGATGAGAAAAACCTTGGAGGAGGCCAAAGCTGGTATTATTGATTTTGATGCTGAAATTGCTAAGGCCCGTGAACTTGAGTTGGCTGCTAAAAATGGACTCCCGACGGGTCCCTCGGCAGAGCCTGATGTTCACGGTTCCTCTAGTTCCGGTTCTGAATTTTTGGGAACTTAAGAGGAACCGGAAGGTGATGGTGTTGAGGGCCAAACTGTTGAGGCATCAACGAATCTTCCTACTTCCCCTGGGGGCGCGGACACTTCTCTTCCTTTGGTTTCCGGAGAGGCAACAATTTAGCTTTTTCTTTTATTTTTTCCCAACTTTTGTACTTATGCTTTTTTGGCACATTTATTGTGAATAAAAACATCTTTTGCTCAAGTATTGCATGAGCCTTTCTGCATTCTTTCGTTTGAACATTTATGCAAGTTTAAACCTTTGCATTCTTTTTTGCTTAAGTGTTTTACACAAGTTTTGCTGTTTGCATCTAATTGTGCAAGGCCTTGGGCGTATTCCCTCCCCCCCCCCAGAAACATTTGTATTTCGGGCGCAAACTCGTCCGAAATCAACCCTTTAACGTGAGGGTTTTTGTAAGTATTTGTGCAAGTTTGCTTTTTGCATCTTTTTGTGCAAGCTTCGGGTGTATTTTTCCCCGAAGGCATTTTGATTCTGGGTATAACTTCTTCCGAAATCAACCCTTTAAAGTGAGGGTTTTCATAAGAGAGGGCTCTCTTATGTTTACGGTGCTCTTGAAGAGGACGTCTCCTATTCATTACGGCACTAGCATTTGAAGTACTTGTTTAACTTTCAAATGATAAAGTTAATTTATCGTTCAGACAAAAAACAAGATAGAAATAAAAGGACTTCATTTTATTCCTTCCATTTTTAAAAGTATATAAGCATTAGTTATGCTAAAAAAGAAATTGCCATTACTTGTGGCTAAGTTGTACATCTTGTTTCTACGGGGCTGGCCGCGCAGTCCCCGATCTCGATGATACAACTATGTTTCCATTTTCATTCTCCGGTCAACGTGGCAGTCATTGTTGCCTTATTCTCATATTATTCCCCCAGTGTTCGAATGTGAAGAATGCAATTTGGAACACTGGAAGTTTTGCACCTTCGAGGATCCAATTAATGAATTGTCGGACAATCTTATGCTTTTGGGCTGCCATTTTTACATGCGCCAAGTCCCTGTGCTCATCGAGTAGCTCCAAGTTGACTAACATTTCTTCATCGTTTCGATTCTTCATCTGCTTGGAAATATCTCAAGGTGGGTTCCCCTACTTCCACCGGGATTAAGGCTTCTGCCCCGTACATAAGGGAAAAAGAAGTTTCTCCTGTTCTTGATTTGACCGTTGTTCGGTATGCCCATAAGGTTTCGGGTAATTCATCGGGCCATTTACCTTTAGCCGCTTCCAACCTTTTCTTGAGGTTTTGTATAATCATTTTGTTCGTTGACTCCGTTTGACCATTTGCACTCGGATGGTAGGGTGAAGATGTACTCCTCTTTATTTTCAAATTTTCAAGGAACTTTGTGATTTTTGTGCCGATAAATTGTGGCCCATTATTGCATGCTATCTCTTTCGGTATTCGGTACCTGCAAATTATGTTTTCCCACAGGAAATCCATCACTTCGCGTTTGCCTATCTTCTGATAAGGACCTGCTTCCACCCACTTAGAAAAATAGCCAGTTAAATCAAAAGAAATCTTACCTTAAAGGGAGCCGACAGTAGTGGTCCAACGATGTCCATCCCCCATTTCATGAACGGCCACGGGGACGGAACCGAATGCAATGGTTCTACCGGTTGATGTACCAGAGATGCGTAGTGTTGGAACTTATTGCATTTTTTGTACGAAGGCTTTGGTGTCTTTCTCTATGCGGGGCCAATAATATCCCCCCTTACCAGTTTTAGCACTAAGGAATCTGCGCCCAAATGGTTGCCGCATATCCCTTCGTGGACTTCTCGCATAACGTAATTAGCTTCGGATGCCCCCAAGCACCGGGTAAGCGGGCCTTGGAAAAATTTTCTGTATAATTGGCCTTTTTAAAAGCTATACCATGCTGCTTTGGCTCGTAGCGCTCGGGATGCCTTGGAGTCTTCATGCAGCTTCCCGTGCTCGAGATAATCGATGATTTCATTATTCCAGTCACAGACCAAATTAGTCGTATTTACCTCATAGTAGCTATCCGTATCTAGGACTAAGTTCATCAGTTGTACTATCGTCCCGGACTCCGATCCCTTTATATTCATTGATAAATTGAGGTTAGCCAATGCATCTGCTTCTACGTTTTCAACCCACGGGATATGAGTAATCGACCGCTCCCGAAATTGAGCCAACAGAGCCTGGACCTTTATCACGTGTTGTTTCATGCGCTCCTCTTTGGTTTTGAAGATCCCATAGACCTGATTTACCACCAACTATGAGTTGCACTTGATTTCAATGACCTCGGAATCTAGTCCCCGTGCCAGTTTGAGCCCTGTGATCCAAGCCTCATATTCTGCTTCATTGTTAGTTAAAGGGATCGTTCTGATGGCTTGCCTTAGGGTTTCCCCTGAAGGCGTGATTAATACTATACCAAGACCAGAACATTTCACGTTGGAAACGCCGTCCGTAATTAAGGTCCAAAACCTCGATGACGATTCCGACACCATTACTGCCTCATTGGTTGCCAGAGGCAGCAATCCCTGACTAAAATTGGCCACAAAGTCAGCCAAGACTTGTGACTTAATCACAGTACTTGGTTTATATTCTATGTTGAATTCACTCATTTTGATGGTCCATTTGGCCAACCTACCTGAGAGTTCGGGTTTGTGGAGGATGTTCCGTAGAGAAAAAGTGGTCACTACGACTATTGGGTGACACTGGAAATAGGGAGGGCCTCAGCTTCCGAGTGGCGACCACGTGAGCTAAGGCAAGTTTCTCCAAATACGGGTAGCGAGTTTATGCTCCCGTTAAGATTTTACTAACGTAATAAATGGGAGATTGCATATCTTCGTCCTCACGGGCTAAAACTGCACTTACCGCGACTTTTGAGACCGCGAGGTAGACTAACAATATTTCGCCTTCCTTTAGTTTAGAAAGTAGTAGAGGGCTTGACAAGTACCTTTTCAAATCACTCAAAGCCTGCTGGCACTCCGGGGTCCATTCGAAGTCATTTTTCTTTTTGAGCAGTGCGAAGAAATGGTGACAATTTTCTTCTGACCGGGAAATGAACCTGCTCAAGGCTGCCAATCTCCCGATGAGCCTTTGGACATCTTTCACTCTTGACAGCTGGTCCGAGATGTCTTCGATTGCCTTGATCTTATTGGGGTTTACTTCAATCCTCCTTTGCGATACCAAAAGTCTCAGGAACTTGCCAAAGCTAACCCCAAATGCACATTTTTCGGGGTTTAGCTTCATGTTATGTTTCCTTAGGATGTCAAATGTTTTTTGCAGATGCTTAAGGTGATCACCTGCATTCAAAGACTTAACGAGCATATCGTCTATATAAATTTCCATAGTTTTTCCTATTTTTTTTCAAACATCTTGTTCAAGAGCCGCTGATAAGTGGCTCCAGCTTTCTTCAACCCAAACGCCATCACATTATAGCAATATGTGCCAAAATTCGTTATGAACGAGGTCTTATCTTGATCCTACGGGTTCATCTTAATTTGGTTGTACCCGGAATAAGCATCGGGGAACTCATTAACTCGTGCCCGGCCATCGCATCGATCATTTGATCGATGTTTGGCTGATAAAGGGCACGCCTTATTCAAGTCCTTATAACCTACACACATGCAAAAGTTGTTGGTCTTCTTAGGAACTACGACTACATTATCTAGCTAGTTGGGATACTTTACCTCTCGGATTGACCCGATATTAAGTAAGCGAGTTACCTCTTCTTTCACGAATTTATTCATGGCTTCGGCAATAGGTCGTTTCTTTTGTCTTATCGGAGGTATGTTGGGGCCCATACTTAACTTGTGTATGGCTACCTCCGTAAGAATACCTGTCATATCCACATCCGACCATGCAAAACAATCGACATTAGATTTAAGAAATTTAATAAAGCCAGACCTGAGCTCGGGGTGTAGTCCTGTCCCCAAGTGGAATTCCTTTCTAAGAACTCTTCGAACAATGTAACTTGGTCAAGCTCTTTCGCTGTGGATTTTTTTGCGTCCGTCTCTTCTAGAATTTGGAAATATCTCAGCACCTGATAAGATTCTGACACTTCTACCCCTGGGCTAACTTCATCCGATTCGGGAGCGGGTGCCGATTCCGGTAATTGCTATGCCTCGTGTCCCTTCCCTTCGCTACTGGAGACTGAAATTGCGTTCATCTCCCGTGCCACTGGTTGGTTGCCCCTTATCTGTTTAACTCCTTCGGGCGCTGGAAACTTCAGCAATTGATGATATGTTGATGGTACAACTTTCATTTCGGCGTTCGCGGGTAACAAAATCTCTCCTCGGGTTGTTATGCTCGCAAGGTTGAATCCAGCGAGGAGTTTCGTGGCCGGAATGATGCTTCCGATGAGTTTAGCTTGCTCCAATACTCTCAATTGTATGATATTGGCCGAATTTCCCGGATCCACTAGAACACGTTTAATTTTATAATCTAGCACATTTAAAGAAATTACCAGTGCGTCCTTGTGCGGTAGCAGCAATTCGTCTGCGTCCTCCTCCGTGAAAGTGATATCATCTTCGGTGACTTCCAAGAGCCTCTTGCTATGGGTTATTGATACTTTCATCTTTTTTTGCTGCTGAAAAAGTTAGCTCGTTGATCTTGTCCCCCCCGAAGATCATGGTGATCGTCTGCCGCGAGGGATGTTACCCTTCTTTCGAGGGTTCAGCGTTGCCCCGGTTACGACCATAATTGTTCTTAGCCTGGTCACTCAAGAATTCTCTGAGATGACCATTCTTCAACAACATTGCCAATTCTTCCCGGAGATGGCAACAGTCCCAGTCTGGTGTCAATTTGGCCCATGGTATTCACACCACAAGTTGGGATCCCTTTGGCTGGGATCGGATCTCATCGGCTTCGGAAAACCGTGCTTCTTTGATGTTTCTCATAGTTGATACCAATTCTACTATGCCAACATTGAAATTGTATTCTGATAACCTGGGGTAGGACTGGCGCTTTCTTGTCCTGCAATGATCTATTGTTCCGACCGTGATCAGACCTTCTATCGGTAGTGAATCTATCTGCTGACCGAAATCCTCTGTTGCAACCTTCTGTCCGTTTGTAAGGCAAAAATCAGCCCCTCGAAGACCGTCTGTCTGTGTCAAAGTCGTCTTTTGATTTTTCTTTATTCTTCTCCCGTCCCTTGGCCGGGGTCGGGAATCCGACCTGATCATCTTCGATACTTATCTTTGACTCGTACCAGTTGTGTACATCCGCCCAAGTAGTTGCGTGGAACTCAAGCAAGCTTTCCTTCAATTTTCGGGAAGCGTATGAACTTCTCGGGTTCAGTCCCTTGGTGAATGCTTCAGCCGCCCATTCGTCTGGAACAGCTGGGAGCAACACCCTCTCCTTTTGGAATCGTGTAACGAATTCTCGTAGCAACTCAAATTCTCCCTGTGCAATTCTAAATATGTCGGCCTTTCGGGCTTGCACCTTTCTGTCCCCGGCATGAGCCTTAATAAAAGAATTTGTGAGCATCTCAAAGGAATCTATGGAATGCTCGGGTAATAGTGAATACCACGTCAAGCCTCCCCTTGTGAGAGTTTCTCCAAATTTCTTCAGCAAAACAGATTCAATCTCGTGAGGAGCTGGATCATTTACCTTTACCGCCGTCGTATAGGTGGTTATATGCTCCTTAGGGTCTGAAGTTCCATCATACTTTGGCACGTCGGGTATTTTAAACCGCTTCAGGATTAATTCTGGTGCCACGCTCGGTTTGTATGGCAACTGAGTATACTTCTTTGAGTCCGGTCCTTTAAGCACTGGTGGTGCGCCCGGGATTTGGTCCATGCGGGCATTTACCTCTCCCATAAATCGTAAAAGTTCATTAAGGGGTGATTCTTGCTATTGGGGCCGGATCCACTTCCCTCAACGCCATCGGAGCCAACCTCCCCCCTCGAGGTGTTGTTATCAACTCTCTGCATTGTTTGATTTGCGAGAGCACCGGGAAGAGCTGGATCTCGCCTATTCGCGTTATTGGAAGCCCCAAATAATGCCTGTTTCAACTCCGTCATAACCTTATCCCATCGCGTGAGGTGGCCCAGAATAATCGCTTGTTGCTATTATAGGACCCTTACCACTTCAACAACATGCTCCTCTTCAGCGTCATCAGGAGTTGCCTCCCGAACATGTCGAGGATAGCGCCTGTCGTGTACCGGTGTGGCATCGTTCCCCTCATTGTGGGTGTCACTGATTGAATCCTCAAAAAGAGGTTGATCTCCTCGAACCTTGGGATTGTGTATGTTGTTAACAACGTTATATGCCATTTCTTATGATTTTTTCTAAGACAAAATAATCAAAACATGTTAGTGAAAAAGGTAATGATCAACTTAATTACACGGTTGTTTAGGCCCCACGGTGGGTGCCAAACTCTTTCCCGTAAAACGGTACAATTGAATTTATATGTGATTTCTAGACAAGTGAATTAATTTGATCCTGAAATAATAAGACAATTGAAGAAATATATAACACTTAGCCTTGATATGAAGACGAAATGACAGAAATAAAGATTTCGGTTGTGAAGTCTCCGAGCGCAACAGTAATAAGAACGATAATAAGAGCATAAAATAAGAAGATAAGAATGTATAGATCTTTGAGTAGATTGTAGTATTAGTTTGCTAGAAAGTTCTTGTTTTTACAATGATAACAGAGCTCACTATTTATAGCTACGTCTAGAGAACAAGGTCCTAGAATGGTGCCCTTCTTTAATATTAATTATGAGGGTCATTGATGAAGATGTAAGTGTAAGCATAAATGACATATTTCTTGTAACGGGTAGTGCACTTAATGACATGAAATATTCTTCATTAATGTCATCGGGAGGAAGGTATTTATTGGCTCTTTATGAGTCTCATTCCCCATGGTGCCAAATGAAGTAGTTGCTCTCAGTTCTACGTGTCATTCTTGGCCACCTATGAAGTAGTTGCTCTCAGTTCTACGTGTCATTCTTGGCCACCTGGCATAGCATATTTTTCCCTATACAACTATAACCTATATATGATAGTTAAAAACATTTAAATTAGTATAAATTACATGCTACATTTACACCCATAATATACAATTACTGCACGTCACAAATCGTACATGATGGACTGATCATAATATTTGATAGATTACATAAAAACTATTGTCAAGCAATGTTACACCTTCACACATAATCTACAATTATTTCAAGGCATCTGTCTTACATTAAATTTTATATTCAACTAATTACAATATTTGATAAATTGTACAAATATTTTCATGCTAGACCTATACATAGAATTTTCAATCTTGTAAGTGTAAGCATAAATGACATATTTCTTGTAACGGGTAGTGCACTTAATGACATGAAATATTCTTCATTAATGTCATCGGGAGGAAGGTATTTATTGGCTCTTTATGAGTCTCATTCCCCATGGTGCCAAATGAAGTAGTTGCTCTCAGTTCTACGTGTCATTCTTGGCCACCTGGCATAGCATATTTTTCCCTATACAACTATAACCTATATATGATAGTTAAAAACATTTAAATTAGTATAAATTACATGCTACATTTACACCCATAATATACAATTACTGCACGTCACAAATCGTACATGATGGACTGATCATAATATTTGATAGATTACATAAAAACTATTGTCAAGCAATGTTACACCTTCACACATAATCTACAATTATTTCAAGGCATCTGTCTTACATTAAATTTTATATTCAACTAATTACAATATTTGATAAATTGTACAAATATTTTCATGCTAGACCTATACATAGAATTTTCAATCTTGATGGAATATTCGATTGATTACATAAAAAGTTATTGCCATGTCACACCTACTAGCAGAATCTCAGATTACCGCAAGTCAAACAACATATGCATAACAAAATCGTCACAATATATCCAATTCTCCCATTCACTCTCGAAAATAAGTGCATTCTGGAGCTTCAATGTTTAAAACCTAGGTTCAGAGGTTCTGCAATATGTAATAAAATCCAAAAGTTTTTTTCTCAAGCAACTCTGTCATTAGAATTATTAATGGAGATTAGTATTATCACAGTCCATTTATTTAAATGATAGGTCATTAAAGATATTAGTATATTACAACCAACTCAGTTTGTCACATTGTGAACTATAACGAAATTAATGAGAGCAACGAAATTAACAAAGGCAGATTTCTTTAATAAAGCACCACAAAAAGTTGATTAGTCCTATGAATAAAGTTCATATATGGAATCTATACATGAAAAACACGCATATAAGCTTTCAATCGGCAACAAGTTAAAAATAATGTAACCAGCAAACAAAACTAATTACTTCTTTTCTTTTATTATCGTAAGATTTCAGCCGTTTGCCTCTGTCAGCCTTTTCCCTCGTTCAGCCGTTTGCCTCTGTCAGCCGCACAGATGGAGTGGAAGAGAACTCGAAGAACAATCCGCCTCACAAGTGAAACGGAGAGAAATCAAAGAAGAAAAAAAACATGGGGGGGGGGGGGGGGGGGAGATTGGGGAAATAGGGTGTGCAGAAATTGGGAAAATAGGGTTTTAGCTTGAAATATTAAATTTAGATTTCTGATTATCGTGGTCGCAAACCCACTTAAATATTCTTTTACCATTTTACTTTTAACTTTGCGACCGACACAATCACTTTGTTGGTCAACTAATATTTTTGTCTTTTTATTGTCCGACCGTTCGCACAAGTGAAGGCGTGAAATTGGCGCACTATTTTCCCACTGCTTTCGCGGAATAATAGTCGAATATTTTTTTTTTTAAAGTAATAAAAATTCAGTCTGTTTCCGACTACAAATGTCACAAAAGTAGTCCCATTAGCGACTTCTTCATTTTCAGTCACAAATTAATGTTTTTCTAGTAGTGATTTATTGTTTCATAATATTATAGTTAATACTGATTAATAACAAGAGGTAATATAAAACAATAAAGCAAATCTATAATGTGAGACATACGGAAAAAGAAGAAGAAGAAGCAAATGTATAGAAAATTATAAAACAGTAAAACAAATCTAAATAAAAAATCGTAGTTTTACAATGATAGAGTCGTGCAGGAACCATGGGAGAAGAGAAGCTAGTGCTCATAGAGGAAATAATATGTAAATATGTAAGCCCTCTTGCCATCCTATTCTTAAAATGTTAGAAACATGAACTACTATAGTGCATGAAAAGATGTACTGCACTAAGTGAGTTGTCCATATTCTTAATGCCAGATATTTTGTTGAGAACTTTTTTCCAATTAAAATTAGTTCATTGAAAACAAATATCTAGGGCAGCAAGAAAGACTTCGAAAGCATTGATCTTAATATAAAAGAGATTACTTTTGTTGGATGGTGAAACTAGTACATAAGTTACAACTTTTCCTCAATTGATCTACTCGTATCGTTCCAAAATGTTTTCTTCTCATTTTCAGAACCACATCCAGTATATGTATTATAATTGTAACCTATCAAAAGGACAGCGCCAAAAGTGGAAAGCAATATCCCGACCTTTCTTAAGCCAACCCCACATATATTATTGTTCATAGATAACTTTTTTCCTTCTTTTACTCTTTTTTTTTCCGCTGCTTTGGTAGTTTCTATATTGTTTGGAAGACTGCATATACATCCCTACTTTAATTACTTATAATAATTTAATTCTTGCCAAACCCTATTTCATATTATTTTGCTATTAAGCACTTTAAAGGCTTCTTAGTAATTTTTACGGCGTCATCTCCATCTTTCTCAGAGATGAATATTGCCAGTTTCTCGATCTTCAGGATCGAGAATATTATTTTTTCCGTTTAAAGCATCAACCAAAAGTACTAATTAAACTCCAATAGTTTTCTATTATGTGGCCATATAATGTAGACATGCAATCCATCATAAGATCGTATGCACAATAACTCAATAAAATTAAGATGAAATTGTTTTAAGAAATTAGCAAGCAAAAAGAACCTGCGTTGCATCAGATTCGTTGTGTATTATAGGTTGAAAGTCATAATTAAAATTTTCTGGTTTGTGGGAGCGAATTGATGCGTTATTGAATGAGTTTTGTTGTTTATATATCTAGCTACTTGACGTTGTGGTTATGTGCAGTGGCGGACCCAGACTTTTATACAAGCTGGTTTAAACATACACTAAAGTCCTAAAAAATAATCGACTTGTAAAAGCGATATTGAGTTAACAAACAAACAAGGTTTACCTAGTGCTCTTTATTTTGGTTCTAACAAAGCGTTAAAAAAAAATTGCCCGTGACTCTTCATTTTATTTGCAAGCCATACCGTTTTCAGACACACACACATATATACATACATACATACATCCATACACACATACATATCTATATACCTTTACAATTGAACAAGTTATTGAACTTCTGAAAATTTTACAAATTTCACCGTAACAAACATAAATTTGATCTATATTAAGATACTAAACTCTGTTTATTTATTTATTAGTTCTAATTTATTTTGCACGAACTATTAACCCAAAAAACATAAGAGAGCTAAGATAGGTTAGTAATATCATATAGAAAGTTCCATAACTATGAAAAGATACTAAACTAAAATAAGCAATAAAAGAAAAAGAAGAAGTGCATGGTGATAGCGTGGCAACTAAACTGTCAGCATCTTGAGTGAATTAAAACAAGATACTGCTCTTCAGGGTTCGAACACGCAACAGGTAGCACTAGTTAGTGCTCCGCTTGGACCACCCGACAAAGGTACACCTTTGGTTAAGCGGGTTCAATTGCTGAATTCTTATATTCGCTTTATTCTTCAAAAAATAATTTTCACACAAATATAGTACAAAATATTTACGAAGCG